GGGCGGGGGTCCCTGGTGCGGGGACAGCCCCAGGGGCTGGCAGGGCGAGCAGCCCTCAGTGCCTGTGTGCGCGCACGCTAAGGCGCAGCAGGGAGCCCGGGCACCATCCCGTCTTGCTTTCCTGGCCACGGATCTATCTGACCTTACAAGCGCCCGGCCTGCACCCGCAGGGCTGCTGTAGGGCTTCTCTGGCATCCCTTACTGCCTGGGAGGCTTAAATAAGTTAATAAAATTAATAGAAAAACAGGTTGGTGAACAGCTAGGCTCACGTTGTACCTCCTGCAGTGATGAAGTAAGAAGCAAAGGTTTGTGGACCCCATCGTGCCCCATTTCAGCGCAATGATCTTCACTAAAATACTAAGTTAAAAACCCCCTCTGTTCATCCAGCCCTGCTGGGCGTCTGCCAGAGGTCAGCATCAGGACAGCAGAAACCAGCGAGACTGTGTGTGTGTGTCCAGGCTCCATCTGCTCTCAGCAAGGACAGCCCAGCTCGGACACGTGTCCCACAGGGCAGTTGTCACTGGCAGAAGATGACGTGTGCAGCGTGGAGCAGCACATGCCAAACAAGGGGGATGTGCCAGGGCTGCCTGGGGTGTTGGTACCTTCACCCACCCCAGCTGTCACCCAGCCCTCCACTGCAAGTAACAGCCCCAGTGCTGGGGGTCCAGCTGGCTGAGTCTGTTCTTCAGCCACCCCAGAGGAACCACAGATCATGGGTTTCTACTAACCTATCTGATTATTGAGTCTGAAGATGAGAAGCATTTTTGCTAGCTTTGGTCCCTCCTGTAGCCCTTGTGGGATAAAGATCCTCAATTCCTGGACTGTCTGAGTAAAAAAACCTACTTTGCTGGCAACTAATGCTAACTGTGACCTGTAAATTCACAGCACACTGTTCCTGAAAGAGGATATTATTATCTCTGTTATTTTCTCTGCTCGTGCACAGATAGAACACAGATGGAGAAGCAGGACTGGGGACAACCATATAGAAAGACCAGAAAAGAAGCAAAAAAGTGTGATGATGGTAAAGAAGTCACAGAGGCAAGGCCCTAACAATGTCATTTTGGAGATCAGCTAAGATTCCTGGGGGCTATGGCTGTGAAGAGTCAAACTGTTTGCTCAGCCCCCTCCACATATTCTGAGACCCTCCCTGAATGTCATTAGTACAGTCTGGATAGCTGAAGGTCAGTCCAGATATCCAAGACCTCATTCTTGCTGAGGATATTTTTTTGAGGAAGTCTGTAAGTACTCTTTTAAGTTCTTTCAGTTCCTCTGCTGTCTGTAAGATAGACAGATGCTTCTGCCAGGCCACTGACAGCTTCCTGCACAGGATCAAAGACCCATGTGCAGAAAGCAAAGGACTCAAAACTCTCTTATGAAAGGCAAATCAGAGCTCAATGAAGCCAGAAAAGCCCCTCTCAAGCTCCAGCCTGATGAAACTCAGCACAGTATTTATTCCTCTGTGCATGAAAAGAATAAAAACACACTTAAATGTGTCAAAGACAAGGAAAAGAAGCAAAGAGAAGACTTTTGATCCCTTGAAGAAGACATGCACCTTTGAGGTTAAAATCTGGTTTCAAAGTGTGAAGCATGAAGTTCCTAATGAATGTGATTCAAACACTCCAGCCACTGGGTCACAGAGGTCTAAGCAAGGTTGAGGTTTTCACCTTTGAAGAAATGACATTTCAGTCACCCACCTCTTCCCTAGGAAACATCAGGAGCCAAGGAACACGTGTCAAGAGTCAAGGACAACCAGCAGTTGTTACAGGTATAACCAGCAGCAAGGTAGTGCCAAAGGATGAGAAATGCAGACTACAAAAAATATGTTTATGAACAGATAATGGTCAGCATAAAGGCTTTTAAAAGTGCTCCTTAAGACAGTTCCAAAGAAAAATCAATAGAAATTCAGACCTATTAAAGTGTGATTATCATCTAGAGCCTGCAGTCTACAGAGATATTGAGTGTGATTCAGCCAGATGCTGTGTCCTACACTGGTACTGACTTCAGGAAGATCTCCCTCTTCCCTATGACCTCATCTACATCCTGGGGATGCACTGCAGCAACACACTGCTGGTTTGGGCCCTGATGCTACAGGGAACCTCACATCACTCAGGACCCTCTCTGGAAGCAGCTGTGTGCAAGGATTTAGGGCTTCATTTTGTGTGGCAGTAAATGATGCATCTTACAATTAGCTCTGGAGATGTTGTTCCTTGAGATGTCTGAAAACACAGGAACTGTGTGTGGTGATGAGGTTTCTTACTGTTCAGGCTTTACGTGTACAAGCTATTGACACAAATAAATAATGAGCATCCCACTGCAAACTTTAAAAGAAACAAAATGTCATACTTTTTACCGTGGAATGTAGTGTTTATTAAAACTGTGCTATCAGCCCCAGGTTTGGGGTGGAAAGCCACTAACATGCACAAGGACTAGTTTTTAAAACTCTGGTCCTTGGGCACAACAACATCTGGTGCCATTTCTTTCGAGCTGAGTTGTGCAAAGCAAAGCTCCTGTCTCTATTTCTGCGGACACAGGACTGAAGTGCCGCCTTACAGACAGTTCTTACCCTTCTCCCTAAAAACCCCAGCACCTCTCTTTCACGTATTACCTTGGCTTGATGCTGCGATGTTTCCCTGGCGGCGCCGGGAGCGCAGCCCGGCAGGGGGAGATCGCTCCATCTGCAACGGGGTAAAACACCCCGGCACACACAGCCCCGCGCCTGGAGCAGCTGGCACCGCTCAGAGTCACCCTCACGGACCGTGTCCGAGCTCTGGCTCAGCCCGCACGGATGGAGCCGGG